AAAAATGGTGGGAAAATGGTGGAAAGTGCTGGAACTGCGGGGCCGGGTGTGAGTGTGCCGGTTTGTGGGCCCAGCGCGGAGAAGCGGCGGCGGGAGCAGGAGCAGCGCTACCTGCACGAGCTGGCCGAGCTGCTGTCCCTGAGCCTCGGTGACATGGACGCGCTGGCCACCAAGGCCGAGCACGGCCACGCCCTCAAAAACACCGTGGGACACCTGCGGCACCTGCGCAGGATGCAGCACGGTAACAATGGGGGATGATAATGGGGGATAATAATGGGGATAATATGGGATAATGCACGGGATAATGGGGGATAATATGGGATAACACACGGGATAATGGGGGATAATATGGGATAACAGCAGGGATAACACCGGGGATAATATGGGATAATGGGGGATAATATGGGATAATGATGGGATAATATGGGGTAATGGGGTAATGGGATAATGGGGGATAACACCAGGGGTAATGGGGTAATGGGATATTGGGATAATGGGGTAATGGGATATTGGGATAATGGATAATGGGATAACGGGTAATGGGATAATGGGGTAATGGGATAATGGGATAATGGGATAATGGGATAATGGGATAATGGGTAATGGGATAATGGGATAATGGATAATGGGATATTGGGATAATGGGGTAATGGGATAATGGGGTAATGGGATAATGGGATAATGGGATAATGGGATAATGGATAATGGGATATTGGGATAATGGGGTAATGGGATAATGGGATAATGGGGGGTAAATGGGGTAATGGGGTAATGGGATAATGGGGTCATGGGATAATGGGATAATGGGGGGTAAATGGGATAATGGGGTAATGGGGTAATGGGATAATGGGGGGTAAATGGGATAATGGGGTAATGGGATAATGGGGTCATGGGATAATGGGATAATGGGGGGTAAATGGGATAATGGGGTAATGGGGTAATGGGATAATGGGATAATGGGGTAATGGGGTAATGGGGTAATGGGATAATGGGATATTGGGATAATGGGGTAATGGGATAATGGGATAATGGGATAATGGGTAATGGGATAACAGGGTCATGGGATATTGGGATAATGGATAATGGGATATTGGGATAATGGGGTAATGGGATAATGGGGTCATGGAATAATGGGGTAATGGGGTAATGGGATAATGGGGTAATGGGATATTGGAATAATAGGTAATGGGGTATTGGGATAACGGGTAATGGGATAATGAGGTCATGGAATAATGGGGTAATGGGTAATGGGGTAATGGGATAATGGGATAATGGGGTAATGGGATATTGGGATAATGGGATAATGGGTAATGGGATAATGGGGTCATGGGATAATGGGGTCATGGGGTAATGGGATATTGGGGTAATGGGGTAATTCGGGATTGAAAATTCCCGTTTTTTTGTGGATTCCGGATTCAAAATTCTCAGCTTTTCCCATAGATCTGGGATTGGAAATTCAGGTTTTTTTGTAGATTCAGGATTGAAAGTTCCCATTTTTTTTTAGTAGATTCAGAATTGAAATTTCCTTTTTTTTTTTTTGTAGATTGAGGATTAAAAATTCCCGTTTTTCCATGGCTCCAGGGTTGACAATTCCCATTTTTCCATGGATCCAGGGTTGACAATTCCCATTTTTTGGGTGTTTTTTCCAGAGAAGTGTGCCGATGACGACGTGCAGAAATCCGACATCTCCTCCAGCAGCCAGGGCGTCATCGAGAAGGAATCTCTGGGGCCCCTCCTGCTCGAGGTGGGAGACACAATTCCCAAAAAAAAAAACCCGGGAATGTGGGCAGGGAAAACTGGGAAAACAAAAAAAATCCGGATTTTTGGGGGATTTTAGGGTGGATTTTGTGCTTTAATCCCGGGTTTTAAGGTGGATTTTGTGGTTTAATCCTTTTTTTATTCCTTAATTTTAGGATTTCAGTTATTCTAGAATGGGATTTTTCAGGAGCTGCGAATTCCAGAAATTGGGAATTTGGAGAGGGAAAAACAGGGAATGGGGCAAATCCGATTTTTTTTTTATTTTGGGGAGGATTTTGTGCTTTAATCCTTTTTTTATTCCTTAATTTTAGGATTTCAGTTATTCCAGGATGGGATTTTCCAGGAGCTGGGAATTGCAAAAATTGGGAATTTGGAGAGGGAAAAAAAGGGAATGAGCCAAATCCGGATTGCTTTTGATTTTAGGGTGGATTTTGAGCTTTAATCCTGTGTTTAGGATTTTGTTCTTTAATTGTTTTTTTATTCCTTAATTTTAGGATTTCAGTTATTCCAGGATGGGATTTTCCAGGAGCAGGGAATTGCAAAAATTGGGAATTTGGAGAGGGAAAAACAGGGAATGAACCAAATCCCGGGGTTTTTTGGGGATTTTAGGGTGGATTTTGTGCTTTAATCCCGGGTTTAGGATTTCAATTATTCCAGGATGGGATTTTCCAGGAGCTGGGAAATTTAAAAAATTGAAAATTAAAAATTCCAAAAGCTCGGAATTTGGAGAGGGAAAAAGAAATTTAGGGTTTTTTTGGGGGGGGATTTTAGGGGAGGGGTTTGTGCTTTAATCCCGGTTTTAGGGGAGGGTTTCCTTTTCCCAATATGATTGGGATTAGGATTGGGATGGGGATTAGGATTGGGATTGGGATTAGGATTAGGATTGGGATTAGGATCGGGATTAGGATCGGGATTAGGATGGGGATCAGAGTTACTCTTTTGACTGGGATTGGGATTGGGGTGAGGATAATCTAGGACTAGGAATGTTATTGGGATAGGGTTAGGATTAGGATTAGGATTGGGTTTAGGATGGGTTAAGGAGTGGTGTAAAATCGGGATTAGGATCTGGATCAGGATGTGGACTAGGAATGGGATTGAACTGGGATTAGAATTAGGATTAGGATGGGAACTTGGATTAGGATTTGATCAGGATTAGGATTGAGATTAGAATTGGGACCAGCATCTGGACTGGAAATGGGAATGGATTGGGATTAGGATTAGGATTAGAATTGGGATTAGGATTGGGATTGGGATTAGGATTGGAATTGGGATTAGGGTTGGGATTAGGATTAGGATTGGGATTAGGATTGGGATTGGGATTAGGATTGGGATTTGGATTAGGATTGGGATTAGGATTGGAATTGGGATTGGGATTGGGATTAGGATTGGGATTAGGATTTGGATTAGGATTGGGATTAGGATTAGGATTAGAATTGGGATTAGGATTGGGATTGGGATTGGGATTGGGATTAGGATTTGGATTAGGATTGGGATTAGGATTAGGATTAGAATTGGGATTAGGATTGGGATTAGGATTAGGATTAGGATTGGGATTGGGATAAGGATTTGGATTGGGACTGGGATTAGGATTAGGATTGGGATTAGGATTGGGATTGGGACTAGGATTGGGATTGGGATTAGGATTAGGATTAGGATTAGGATTAGGATCAGGATCAGGATCAGGATCAGGATCAGGATCCTGATCTGAGCAGGAATTTTTTAGGAATTTTCACTCTCTCTCTCTTGCAAGGTTTGAATTCCATAAAAAATGGGACAAATCCTGGAATTTATGGCCAAAATAATTCTTCACCCTCTAGGCTGAGATGAGTTTTTGGGATAAAACCTTGGAATTCTTTCCCTTTTTCAGGTTCCAGGTGGGATTTTTAGGATAAAACTTTGGAATTTCCCCTTTTCCAGGCCCTGGATGGGATATTTGGGATAAACCTTTGGAATTTCTCCCTTTTTCATGTTCCAGATGGATTTTTAGAATAAAACCTTGGAATTCTTTCCCATTCCAGTCCTTGATGGTTTTTGGGATCCAACCTCTGAATTTTTTGCCGTTTTTTTCCCCATTCCTTGGACTTTTATCCCATTTTTCCCATTTTCCCAGGCCCTGGATGGGTTTTTCGCATTCCTTGGAATTTTATCCCATTTTTCCAGGCCCTGGATGGGATATTTGGGATAAACCTTTGGAATTTTCCCATTTTCAGGCCCTGGATGGTTTTTTTTCGTGGTGAACCGCGAGGGTCGGATCGTGTTCGTGTCGGAGAACGTGACGGGATATTTGGGATAACACCTGGGAATTTTATCCCATTTTTCCAGGCCCTGGATGGGTTTTTTCTCATTCCTGGGAATTTTATCCCATTTTCCCAGGCCCTGGATGGTTTTTTTTTCGTGGTGAACCGCGAGGGTCGGATCGTGTTCGTGTCGGAGAACGTGACGGGATATTTGGGCTACGGGCAGGAGGAGCTGATGAACTCCAGCGTTTACAGCATCCTGCACGTGGGAGACCACGC